GATAATATTCTGTTATACGATGGCGAACTTTCCCAATTGTACGTCCTATATAACTTGCTCCACAGGAGCAGTTGAATTGGTAAATACATATGGATGTGGTGAATTTAGACAACCTGTCTTTATTAGCCGTTCTCAGGTTGGCTGTATCAAATGTTGTCTGATTTAAGTTTATTTAAAATTGTTAGAACAAATGTATGAAAAATGTAGGAATTATGTAATGGATAGATGATATTAATGAAAATAGTATGGTGTAAATGACAATTCAAAATAAAGCACAGATATTTAGTTGAATAGATATATGAATTGAAAATAACTGATCATTAGTTGAGTATAATTTTATAGTCTAATATAGAGTCTACATGATTAAAGAATAATTACAATGTAAATGGATGAAAGATATATGTTTTGTAGATGATTTGCCAGCCTATCAGATTGAAACCAAATTATTGAACCTAATCACTTTCTGCCATACCTTTGAAGTCACTATAGCGAAACATAGTTAAAGATAGGATTGGAAGCAAATTCAGGCGGGGAAGACTAATTTATTGTTTAATGCAAAATTACAGAGTGACTTCATGGCAATATCGAGATAATCCTCACAGAATGCACATATGTCAATAAGAAACTAATCAATTTCAGTCCTAAACATCAATGGGAAGGTTCAAGTAAACAATATCAAATAAATTTAAACTTCACCCCGTTGGATAAGCGGGGAGCTATCAGGACTCAGTAGCTAAGTGGATAACACGATGGTGTTTGAAACGAACGATACTGGGTTCGAGTCCCTAGGTGAATATCAACTCTGCGATGCAGGTACATCCAGCTGACAATTCTGAAATAGGATGAGACGCGTATTCTAGATTCCACTGCTTACCACTATGGATCTTTGCTAAATTTGACTAATTAATTATGTTTCATTCCATTGTATAATGAATATGATCAACGCAAACAATATGTGGTCACATTTTCAAACACCAACAGATAATAAATCAAACACTTAAGTAAAGGATTTGACATTTAGCTATCATGATTATTGTCGTTTTGTAATAAAATCCTGCTATGAATTTTATGTTAAAGAACATTCATAAAAATAAATTTTTTTATTTGTAAAAGACTATTTGAATGGAATAAATAAACTATAAAGAACATTGGAAATCCAATATTAAGTATTATTCATAACTAATATATTTTAGTAACCACCCACTCTTAACGTCATACCTATCCGTAAATCAAAAAGTTGAAATTTTAATTAACTATCTAATTGTCTTTTCTCTACCATAAAGAAATATCTCTCGTTTTCCCGCGTAATTATATAAAACGAAAGAAAAAATAAGGTAAGGCACACGAAAGGAAACAAAATGACATAAAAAGAACATTTTGAATAAAGTAGAACTTTGTTCATAGTTGGTTTTGTTATGTAAATGAACATCATTTTATTATGTTTCTAGCAAGATTCAATAAATATTGAGTAGCTTAATATATAAATAATAAATGATAGTAGATATAATTTGGCATTTTAGTGGATCTATTGAAACTTCAGATGTGATCTATTGAATTACAATATCTTGATGTGGGTTGGATTATTATTATTATTATCATCGGCTTTATTCAATATTATATTTTTGGCACAATATAGAATTCTCAGCGCATAGTATTTCAACGAGTTTCCGTTTCTTTCTTCTTGGTCGGTCCTGACGATAAATATTGAGTGATCGCCAGTTAGATGTTAGCAGTCCAGTAAATGAACATCTAAATAATGTATATTCTTTTCTCTGCATATTGACAGAGACCACATTATCTCTTACTGGGCTTTTTGTAACTTTGACAACGAAAGGTTGTACACTTTTCAGAAATGCACCAGAATAGGTTATGCGATTAATAGACATAATGATATATTAAAACAAACAATAATAGATAACTTGTTGAAATATCTAGATGGCAGGAACAGGTAGCCCAGATGCTCAAGCAGGCCGTCTATATAATATTGATGCAATCCATGTAAGGCCTGTAAATTATTATATATATCCAGTGTACTTTGTATTTTAACCTCTACACGAGTCAATTTCGGTTCGAGAAGTATATTATTTTCATCTTTTCTCTGTTTAACTAAGTTTACATAAAGGAAAAGCCAGTTGATCCTTAAATTAAATCGAATAATTTTACAAAACAACTTTTTTCAATTAGATCATAGAAATATTCGTTTGGTTTGTTTAACAATGTCACTAGTCTTATTCAAGTCTATTTAATTGGATTTTTTTTGTTACAACATTTGTATATCAAAATGAATGTTTTTAGGGGATGCTGCTTCTTTTAAAACTGAAAGTTCAATTAAGTCGTTTTCACAATTGATTCTACATAAAATAAGCACATTTTTATACTGACTTTGAAATTAATCTGTTGTGATAATCTTTTAAAGGTTCACTAATCTACTTCAATGTTTCTGATAACCTTTATTAAAATTCACTATCAGGCATTTATAATTCTTGGTTGAGGTCATGAATTAATTGATGTTAAACCAAAAACTTAACAATCTCCACAACCCCCATACTGATAATTAACATGTGCTCACTAGTGACTAGCTTCGTGAGGGAATTCTCGGAGTTCTAGTGAGAAGTCGTGACCGGTGGAGCTAATCCGTGTCGGGTAGAGACAGTTATCTACCTCAGTACAATGGAAGGTGGTCGCGCAATTTCGTTGGATTGGTTGATGTTAGACACTAACACCATTGGATGCCGGCTCAGTGGTCTAATGGTTAAGTGCTCAGGCGCGAAGCCAGTAGGTCCTGGGTCCGAATCCCGCGGGGTGCGGGATCGTGGATGCGCATTGCTGAGGGGTCCCATACTAGGACGAAACGGCCGTCCAGTGCTTCCAGGTTTCCAACGGTGGTCTAACATCAATTAATTCATGATCTCAACCAAAAACTTAACAATCTCCACAACCCCCATACTGATAATTTATAATTCTAACAAGTTGATATTATTTACTAAACTAATTCTACATAAAGACAACTCCAAGAATGCCAGAAAACTTCTAGACGTTTAGAATATAAATCAAAAAGAATCCAAAAAAATTTTGTGATGTCAGCGTCTTCAAAGATAACTAATCACAAATCAATTTACGATTCATTTGAGACTACCGTAATAACATTAAAGAAATTCAACCTTTGTTTAAGAGAATTAATGATGAAGAAATGGCTACATATAGTAACATAAAACTTTAATAAATATTTTTGTGTACTGATTCAATAGAGAAGCTTGCAGATGTCACGATACAGGAAAATTATTACAAAAAGTCATTTGACGAAGTCAACCAACTTTTTTTTCATTTTAAAGTCTGTTTAACTCAGGCTTTCGTTGTATTTACTAATCAACGAAATCGACAATACAATCTACTTCAAGTATCTAACGGAACTTAATGAAGTTATTGTGTAAACAAGAACCAAATAAATAAATTGAATTGATTTATCACGGTTAAAATCATGACTAACAATCTAAGAACTAGTTTTGTTTTATCTGTTATAATTCAATTTTTATTTCATTGTTTAAAATTTTTTTTCTAATCAGTAACTAGGTTGTGATTTATCAAATTGTATTCTAGTTATTTTGTTATAAATCACTGCTAAATCATTTGATTTTATAAACTTTCCTATAGAAATAGTGAATTGAACATAGAAGTCAATTGTTAATAATATACAGTATGTAATACCTAAACATCACAATTGTTTGATCACTCGGTGGCGATCAATGTCATGCGTGTCTAGTCCTTATTAGTGCAGTTCGAATGCTATCGATCATGTTGAAATGTGGCCACCAGTCTAGGTGACTCGACACTGCGGGCACTATATATTGAGATTAGATAGTGGTTGGAGGTAGTCGACAGGAAACCCTGGACCCGGGTTTCGTGCTACTTGGCACTCGCATGACATTGATTGCAACCCAGCGATCAATCATTTGTGATTACATTTCAGTCCTACAGGAGCTCAGTCGCGGCTCGGATAGCTCAGTGGTAACGTCTCTGACTGTGAAGCTGGGTGACACGAGATCGAATCCGCCAGGGAGCACCAGTTCCCTCAAGATTACAGATACACCTTGCTGACGAGTGTCAAGTAGCACAAAACCCGGGTCCAGGGTTTCCTGTTGACTACCTCCGACCACCATCTAATCTCAGTACCTAAACATGAATATGATCTACAGATAAGGTCAAAATATGATTTCAGTTATCTACATTAATCAAACTGACATTAACAACACCATACATGTGTACAGTTTTTCTTATTATTAAACATAAAAAGTTTACATAATAGAAAAATAGACGAATGTTACATGTTCATTACTTATTATAAAATTCAGTGAATTTATATCATTCACTTATTCTCAATGATTCATAACCTACCATAGAAACAATACAAGATTCATTCATTTCTTTCTTAATATTTATTTTATTTTCAAATATATGTAACGAATATTTTACAGTTCAAAAATACATAGGAAATAGGTTATATCTATTTTAATCATTTTCTCTTGTTGTCTTTTCACTGACTACTCATAGAATTTATAAATCTATATATATATATATATATATATATATATATATATATATATATATATCATATGACTTACAAAATCATTATATTTGTTACATATTTCAAGCCTTTCTTTAAAAAGTTGTCTATTCACTGTAAGTCGTTCACTTGCTTTATTATATTCTCTAATCATTGAAAGTTACATTTAATGATATACCAAAATAAAATGTATAATTCCATTCATATTATTCCATTGGTTGTTGATCAGTAACAATAAACAAAAAAGTATATGAATGTAAGTATATTTTACATCAACACCAACATCATCAACATCATCATCATCATTTGCATGTTTGACTGATTTCTGTTGTACAATATATATATATTTACAATGATCTTTATTGAATTCCTAATTTAATTGATAGTCAAGAAACAAAATGTAGAATCATGATTGTTGTTTGTTTTTGTTTTTTTTAATTTAAAATATCACCTCTGATTGATTAGTTAACACTTGTCTTGTTTGTCTTCTTGCATATCTCCATAATCTTACAGATTCTTGACGAAAACGTCTACTCATTATTAAATAAATAATCACATTAGCACATGAATCTAAAACAACTAAACTTTTTAATGCATTTGTTACTAAATCAAATTGTACACGATCAAATTTATATTCAAATGTTACACAAAAAAATACTGGTGCTTCAAATAATATAAAGATAACTGTTAATAATGTAATCATACGTGTAGCTCTAGCCTGATTATGTAATCGGCGTTCATTTAATTTATATTCTAATAAAATTTGTTGTTGTCTTGTATGTGTATAATCATGTTTTGTTGCACATGAATAACTACGATTATTACTTACAATATTATTATTATTCGCAGTATTATTAGTATTAATAATACTATTATGCTCAGTCTTATTATTATTATTTGTTTCCAAACGTCTTGTCATTCTATCTGATACATGATGATGATTTAAATTTGGTAATTTATGACGAAATAATGCAATCAACATTATTACCGTTGTCAATACTACAATCAATATTGGTATAGCTGATTGAAATGTAAAAAATAAATCTTTTACAATACGCCATTCTGAACTTGGTATTAATATAATTTTATTATTTTGATTTAAACAAATATCAATATGCATTTCAAATAATCTTAATGCACTTAATATAAATCCTGTTAAAATACAACTAATAGTAAATATAGCCATCCATTTTGGTTGAAATAAATGTGAATATGTTTTACGTGATATCATTGGTTTTGTTATAGCTACACAACGTGCTAATGAAATTAATGTAATAGTCCAATTTCTTGAACATAATGCACCACCAATTAATATAAAACATGTAATATGTACAATTGTTTTATATAAATTTTGTTCATCATTTGGAAAATTTGTTGTATAAAATAATGATATTAAAAATATCATAGAATTTAATAATACTTCAAATATTGTTAATGTAATTAAATTAATACGCATTGAACCTAAACGTATTGCTTGTGGTCGTGTTAATACAGTTAATGATAAACAACTAATAATTAATGCGATAGGACTTAGAACAACTAAAAATATATAAATTGGTGGTGTATAAACTAATTCACTTTGATTATATGCAATGTATATAGTACAATTATCATTATAGGATACAAAATTCATTTTTTTTTAAATATTTTGTTTTGTTTAAAATAATGAATAAAAAAAAGAAGAGAACTAAATGGATTTAAATGAAATTTTGTTATAATGATATAAAATAGTTTTAAAGTTTTATGATGATGTAAATGGATGCATCTCATTGAAAAGTATTCAAGTGTATTGGTTTATTTGTTTGTTTTTACTAATGATAATATCTTGAAATGAACCAATAGAATTCGGACAAAATGATAATTTTCTCATTGGTCAATATTTTTCATAACATGAACCAATAGTAAATTAGTTCATAATATGACATAATGATTGTGTGAAAATTTATTTAAATTGTGCAAACTTATTGATTTAGTTAAAATGTTCTATTGTCATATTTTAATATGAGGAAACTGGTAAAATTTCAGTTAAATTTATATATACTGCTAATTTGAATCTTTTCATTGATGTTCAGTATTGTAAATGATCAATCTCTTTTGACATATTTTCATCATATATGGATTGCCTCGATATTGTCTCAAGTCACAGACATTATAAGCAAAAATGGATGTTGATTAGCAGTGGAATCCACGTTACGCGTTTCATCTTATTTGGGACTCATCAGCTGTGTGAACATGCATCCTAGGGTTGATGTTCACTCTGAGACTCAAACTCGAATGATACTGGTTAATTACAGTCATAAACATCAGTGGTAGATTTAAAAAACCAATACAAAAATGAATTAAAACCACATCCCACTTCACAAGCTAGTGATTATCTGGACTCAGTAGCTAATTAGATAACGCGATGGCATTCGAAGGGTATAGTACTGTGTTTGAGTCCCGGACTGAACATCAATTCTAGGATGCATGCACATCCAGCTGACGAGTCTTGGATAGGATGAAATATGCGCCGTGGATTCCACTGCTAGTGTTCATTTATTTCTTCTCAATGTTAATGTAATTAAAAACTTGTAAAATCCTACTTTTTCCGATTATTGATGGGTTTAAGTTTTTGTCAGAAAATCCCCTCGGAACGTAAACATTTAAGGTAATTAGTAATCATGATTGATGATCTGTTAAAAGACACAAAACGATGTTTAACATTCTAATAGCGAAAGGTCAACTCTTTAAAACTGTAGAAAGCTAATAACAGAAGCCAATACATTACACTTTCATCTATAAATAGTTCAGTTCAATTGAGTCTTTCTTTTGTAACTGTTTACTGCATACAATTCTTTTTTATTTGATGAATTAGTGTTTGCTATAGAATAATTAAATAGTCGGTCATATTTTTAAAAAAATATTCTATTCATTGTAAAAGATTTAAATATATGCGAATATAACTGAGAGGATTTTTATGTTTATAAGACGAAAAATAAGAAACAAACATTCTTATGTCTTGGTTACAATCGGTAAACTACACCGCAAAAGTATTACTTCTCACTTTGGGCTGAAACTTATATAGTTCAGATGTAAAAGGCGAAATATAGCAATATTAACATAAATTATGTATAATAATACACATGTACTTAAAGATAGTTACTGATTCTATGGTTTAATTTATGAGATATATATAGGCAAAGATGGAAGGTGACCAGCAGTGGAGTCCAGGACACCCGTTTCGTCATATTTAGGACTCGTCAGCTGGGTGTATCTGCATCCTGGAGTGAGCATCAACTCTGAGGTGCAGGTAAATCCTGCTGACGAGTCACAAATAAGATGAAAATCGTGTCCCTAATTCTACTACAAGCCACCGTCCATCTCTGCTTACAATGCTTGTGACTTACGACAATATCAAGGCACTTTGTAGAGGTTGCACATTTACGAACTATAGACTGGTCATTTGTAGTCCTAAATATCAGTGAGAAGATTTAAACAGATAATACATAATGAATAAAATATATATGTTTTAAATAATTAGCCGGCATTATTTTGTGGAAAAAAAACTAGTGTTAAATGTTTCAAGATCTTCATTTATTCGCTCGAATGAAGCAGATGATTATATTCAAAACGATTTCATAAATGGTTTGTGGTATTCATTAAGCCACATTAGAGAAGAAACATTATCACTGTCATTAAATAATGATCGCTTTATATTACAGATTATTTGAAGCCGAAATAAGCGGCATAAACGCAACATGCTTGGGGAACAATATATAGATCTTTTGTATAATCTTAGTAAATGCACTGTGTTCGAACCCTTAATTCAGTTATATCAATACAAGATGAAAATGTTTTAAATGTAAAGATCCGAAAATCCATATAAAATATAAGATATAACGATATTTTATTCCGATTGTTTAGATGGAATGTTAACTATTAATGTTGGTTAAGAACATTTCGTTTTAACAAATAATTCACCTTGAAGAATTTTCAATTTATAAATTGAATAATCTAAATAGAAATTGAAGCATAACAAGTAATTAACAATTATAATATACAAAGTGAAAAAATCATTAATCTGAAATATGCAATCAAATGGTTCGTTATTTTTATGGTTGAATTCATGAGTTAATTGAAGCTAGACTATACCATGGAAAACCTGAAAGCCCTGAACAGCCGTTTCGTTCTATTGTGGTATTCAAGTATTCAAGTTTTCTTAGTGCAAAAATTTATGTATATTGATATCGTAATCTCGGTTACTATGTTAAATCCATATAACTTATTCTAGCTCCTGAACAGGCCAATTTATTCGTTTTTCTTGAGTCACGTTTTGACCTTGTTAATTATTCACTTATCAACCTTGACTGTTTTTATATGAGCGTATGTGTAAGTACATCTTATCCTACTCGTTACATGTTTTTAACTTGTTTTTGTGTGGCTATAAATATTGATTAACGCTTGATTAAATGGAGTTGGCTCACCCACCAACTCTAATACGCATCCTTTTATTTTACTTCTCTTTCTCTTCTTCTCTTCATTTGCTGTGATACTCTGATTGTCTGTTCCGATCAAACGAATGTTCAAAATATACGCATTCAACCATCCATTCTCGTATTTGACTTATTTAATTCTGTTAATCACTAACTCAGATTAAGTCGATAATTATAAATGAGCATATGTATATGTTTCAATAACAATCAATCATACAATCTAATTGATAATAGATATCGGTCTATTAAAATATCTCATTTATTTTAAATAAGCTTCTTATCACTGGGTTGTTTTTTCATTCTTAATCATCATTATAAAAAGAGCCTTCAGTCTTCAGTAATAAGGATAAGAGGTCTATCGACCTATATTAATCCTTGCAGTTTGTAATACTGTGGAGGTCCAATCTCGTTTTGAATATACTAACAGAAGGTGCTGATATTACGTGTTCCGGTAGAGAACTCCAGTAATTCACTACTTGGTGCGAGAAACGAAACTCCAGATGTAAACGATTTGATCTCAGTTTTTGAACTTTCTTCTCAAATGATCAGTCCTAGACGGAAGTAAAAGATAAGACATGTTAATACCAAGGTCATCGTTCAGTATACAATAAACCATTAGATCACCCCATACTCTACGGTAAGATAACGGAAATAAGTTGAGGTGTCTCAGTCTGTCTTCATAAGATAGGTCAGATAGACATTGTACCATCTTAGTACCTCGTCGTCCGACTCTTTACAGCATCTCTGCTTTATACTTGAAACAAGGAACCAGAACTATCAGTAACAAATATTAAAACCGTAAATTTATTTAAAAAACCATAAATTCAATTGAAATAAACTACATGACGATAAAAGATCTAGTAATATTGTTTAATGATATGACAGGATATAAAGATGAAAAAAATTACATTTTTTTATTCATTGTAATTTTTGATTAATATTACTTCCGTTTTGTTGAATTCAATATGATAATTATTTCATGTAGAAGTTGTTTTTGATTTCTAATATGGTATCTTATTCAGTATAATATCGATTTATATTAAGAACATGTTTTATTCAAGATATGATATTCTGATATTCAATTATGAAGAACTATGTTCAACGCGATATACAAGATGGGAATTTAAAATACTTTTGTTTATGTAACGTTTTATTTAATTAATAATCATATATGTACACAAATTAACACATAAATGAGCATAGTTTCGACTAGAGTCATCGTTCTATTTTAGAGTGAATAATTCTTCACTTGTATCAGCCTTGATGTACCAACTTACTTACACCTGTTACTCCTCGTGAAGGAGCATAGGTCGCTCACCAGCATTCTCCATCCAACCCTGTCCTGGGCAATCCTTTCCAGCTCCCAGTTCCTATTCATCCTTTTCATATCTGCTTCTATTATCCGACGTAATGTGTTCTTTGGCCTTCCTCTTTTCCGCTTCCCTTCAGGATTCCAAGTTAGAGCTTGCCTTGTGATGCAGTTTGACGATTTGCGTAATGTATGTCCTATCCATTTCCATCGTCTTTTCCTAATTTCCTCTTCAGCTGGAAGTTGGTTTGTTCTCTCCCACAGAAGGCTATTGCTGATGGTATCCGGCCAATGGATGTTGAGTATCTTGCGTAGACAGCTTTTTATAAATACTTGTACTTTCTTGATTGTGGTTGTTGTAGTTCTCCAAGTTTCAGCTCCATACAGTAGAACTGCCTTGACGTTCGTATTGAAGATTCTCACTTTGATATTGGTTGAAAGTTGTTTTGAGTTCCATATGTTCTTCAATTGTAGGAATGCGGCCCTTGCTTTGCCAATCCTCGCCTTTACGTCTGCATCTGAACCTCCTTGTCTATCGACGATGCTTCCCAGATATGTGAAGGATTCTACGTCTTCCAGAGTTTCGCCATCAAGGGTGATTGGATTGCTGTTCTCCGTTTTGAATTTGAGGACCTTGGTTTTCCCTTTGTGTATACTGAGGCCTACTGATGCAGAGACTGCTGCTACATTGGCTGTCTTTATCTGAATCTGTTCACGTGTACGTGATAGGAGGGCTAGGTCATCTGCGAAGTCCAGATCGTCTAATTGGTTCTGAGCTGTCCATTGTATTCCGTGTTTTCCTTCAGATGTCGAAGTCTTCATAATCCAGTCGACCACCAGAAGAAAGAGGAA